GCAGGACCCAATCCCAACATCTCCTCCAGGGAAAGGTGAGTTCAGCCAGGACCCGATCCCAAAATCTCCAGGGAAAGGCGAGCTGAGCTCGGGATGGAGCAGGACCCAATCCCAACATCTCCTCCAGGGAAAGGTGAGCTGAGCTCGGGATGGAGCAGGATTTGATCCCAGCATCTCCTCCAGGGAAAGGCGAGCTGAGCTCGGGATGGAGCAGGATCTGATCCAAACATCTCCTCCAGGGAAAGGCGAGCTGAGCTCGGGATGGAGGATTTGATCCCAACATCTCCTCCAGGGAAAGGTGAGTTCAGCCAGGATCTGATCCCAACATCTCCTCCAGGGAAAAGCGAGCTGAGCTCGGGATGGAGCAGGATTTGATCCCAAAATCCAGGGAAAGGTGAACTGAGATAGGGATGGAGCAGGATTTGATCCCAGCATCTCCTCCAGGGAAAGGTGAGCTGAGCTCGGGATGGAGCAGGATCTGATCCCAACATCTCCTCCAGGGAAAGGCAAGATGAACTGAGCATCCAGCAGCCCCAGAGCCCGGGCAGGACCCGGCGCAGAATTGGAATTGCGGCTCCAAAGCTTTTGGCTCCCTCTGGTGTCCTCCAAGGAGGAGGAGGAGGATGGGACCAGCTCGGGCTGGTGGCACTGCTCCTGTCCCCTCCCCAGCAGCGACCCAGCGGTGGCCGAGTGCCCCCAAAAGGGCCAAGTCCGCACCTTGGGGCTCGCAGGGATCACCCCGCTGCTCCCAGGGGAATTGGGAATGGGATGAGCATCTCCAGCAGCTCCATCAGGGGTCAGCTGAGAAAATCCCAGCGTGGAAAATCCCATTTTTCCTGCACCATCCCACCCGCTGGCATTCCTTCTGCAGGGATTTCAGGAGCATGAAACTAGTCCCAAATAAAACAAACTATTCTAAACACACAGATATCACAAAATAAAAGCTGTTTTCTAAATTGATTTTCAAAAAAACCTCGTTTGTGACCTTGTAATGGATACAGAAACAGATTTGCATAAACAGAATCTGATTCCAAAGTCTGAACAGCCCAAAATTTTCCCATCAAATCCCTGGACACACCTTCCTGTGTAAATAATCAGCTGTCAGGAGATGCTGCAGAAGCCTTTACAGCTGGAAGCAAAGCCCATTATTGCTGTACAAACACAACAGAACTTTCTTTTCCCAGTATTTTATCCCAGGTTTTTTTCCCCTTTGGTATTCTGGGTGGCAGGTGCTTGTTGGATTAGGTCCTTTTCTGACTTAGAGATGGGGTAACTGAGAGCTGTTTAAAAAACTTTTATTCCGTTTTCAGTCCCATGAGAAGGGTGAAACAGTGCAGATGTTATAATTCACACCATCACAATCAGAAGTTAACAATTTCCTAATTACAATACATTATAAGTGCTTTTTTGGCCTATCAGCTTTTGCAACACCAGGAGAGAATTCTCTACAAATTCATTTCCCACAGCTGCTGATCCCCACTGCTCCCATGGCAAAGGCAGGAGCAAGAAAAAGGACAGGGAAAATCCACCTGGAAACTGCTTTTAATGCAACAGCCCAGAGGTGGAGTTTGTCCTGAACCGAGTTCCTTTCGGGAGATTTCTTCAGAGGTCATCAATGGGTGCCAGGAGACAAAGGAAAGCTGTGTTAGGAAAGTAGGAAAAGGGATTTGTTTTCCAGCAGATGTTCTACAACTCCTACAACTAAGGAAAAAGTAAGCACAAGCAGACCACGTGCTGTCAGTCCTGAATTGTGTAATTTTAACTCGATTTTTTTCTGGTTTGCTTTAAATCATAATTAAAATTAATGATGATTTTTTGATCCCCTTGGCCAGGGTGCCTGGCTATCTTCAGGCAGCTGCTGCAGAAGTCAGGGAAGACTCCCATCCTCTAATTTAGGTGAAGGTGGAAATGCACCCACATGGGATTTCTCAGTGCTCCTCATTGAAAAGAGAGGGGTGGAAAAGATCTTTTCCCTGCTAACTGCGGGGAAGGAGCCCCGAGGAGTTATTTGGAATAAAACCACGGATCCTGGAACACCCTGGGCGTGAGAGAGAAGCCACCTCAGAAGGGTTGAGCAATGCAGAAAGCCTTTCCAAGCTTTTCCAAGACTTTCCAGGCCTTTCCAGGCCTTTCCAAACCTTTCCAGGCCTTTCCTAGAATTTCCAAGCCTTTCCAAAACTTTCCAGACCTTTCCAAGCCTTTCCAGCCCTTTCCAGGCCTTTCCAAGCCTTTCCAAAACTTTCCAAGCTTTTCGAAGCCTTTCCAAGCTTTTCCAGGTCTTTCCAGACCTTTCCAAGCCTTTCCAAGCCTTTCCAAGCCTTTCCAGGCCTTTCCAAAACTTTCCAAGCCTTTCCAAGCCTTTCCAAGCCCTTCCAAAACTTTCCAAGCATTTCCAAGCCTTTCCAAGCTTTTCCAGGTCTTTCCAGGCCTTTCCAAGCCTTTCCAAAACTTTCCAAGCATTTCCAAGCCTTTCCAAGCTTTTCCAGGTCTTTCCAGGCCTTTCCAAGCCTTTCCAAAACTTTCCAAGCCTTTCCAAAACTTTCCAAGCTTTTCCAAACCTTTCCAGGTCTTTCCAGGCCTTTCCCAGCCTTTCCAGCCCCCTGGGCAGGGTCACAGCTGCTTTTCCCTGGCACAAGATCCGGGTTTGCTCCCGGAGCCAGGGGAGATCCCTGCTGAATCCATCTCCTCTCTCCAGGTGGGATCCACCCCTGGATGGCTGCGGGGACTCAGCAACCCCGCTGAGCTGGGAAATATTCCCATTTTCACCTGGCTTGGATGCTGCCCAGCCTCCAGCGCGGCCTGAGGAAGGCAAATTGCCTCAGATAATGAGATATTTGTTACTAACTCTGCTCATTTTTCCTCACACGTCATTCCGGGGGTTATTTCTAAATAAACCACACGGCTCTCAAAAGCAGAATATTCCTTCAGAACATTCCTCTGGGCACGACAATTTTTTTCAGCAGACACGACGGCTCTTTTGCAGTTTGTGCACTCGGAGCAAATGCACAGAGTTTTGAGAGCAGCTCAAAGGTGGCAGGGGGACGAGAAATCTGCAGAAAAGGCTTTTTTTTTGGTTGTTTTTCCCTCATGGAAAACCCTGGTGCCTGCAGGAATGGCATCCATCCTTCCCCCGAGATCCTCCCTCCCCTTTCTGTCAGGGATGCTGAAGGGTTCTGCTCCATCACTGCTGCTGCACCACCTCCCCCAGCCCCTCAGGACAACCAGCAGGTTGCTTTGGCCTCCAAATTGGACAATATTTTCCTGCTGAGGGATGTCCCTTAAATCCTCGCGGGTTTAAGGCATTTTTAAGGTGTTTTTTAAGGTGTTCTCCCCACTGACCGTAGCCAGGTGCTGCCAGGAACTGAGCTCGCACTCTGCCGCTATTTCTTCCTTCTTAAGTCGTTTTTTAAATTTATTTTCCAGCTGGAGTCGTGCCTCAAATCAAAATTAGGCTTTGTATTTTTACAGCTCTTGTTTCTCCCCTTCTGGGGAAGGGCAGCGGGTGAGGGCACAAATATTTTGCCGAGGTCTCCCGAGGAAGTTTTTTATTCAGATTAATGTGCAAACCTGAGAGTCCTGAGTCAACAAGCAGATCCAGGAATAACAGCTGTTTCCCCAGATATTATCCAACACACACACAAATATTTTTCAAGTGGAATTTCATAGAGACAGCAGAGCCTTGCTTGCCATAAAAAGAACTGTGAGAAGGAGAGCTGGCAAATCCCTGAGCAGCCCTAACATGGGTTTGCTTGGTTGGATTTGTTGGAATATTCATGGCCATGCCCAAATTGGAGGGGTTTTAGCTAAATATCCTTTGTTTCCCGTGGAATCTGCGTGGTGAGGGAGGGAATGAGTGTTTCACCGGTGATGTTTGGTTTTGTTTCAGAAACCACCAGCCCTGGATCCATCCCAGGGCCAAAGGTGGAGCATTCCCAGCCAAATCCAAGCTGGAAAAGCAGCCCTGGAGCACCAGAACTGCTCTGCTCCTCATTCCCCAGCCACCACCCCCAGATGCCTCTCCCCAAAGCACTCCACAAACCAAACAGCCCAGGCAAAAAAAGCTCTTTTTGTCTCCATCCTGGGAGTGAGAGCAGCAGATGGAGAGCCCTGGAACAATAGGATAATGCTGAAGGGGTGCCAAGGACGTGAGGGCAAAGGGGATGTGAAGAGGAGCTGCTCCAGCTGAGCCAGAATTCATGAAGAACATTTTATTCAGCTGTGATGCCAAGGTTTTGAGGTCATGACTGCAGATCCTTGGGTGAGCAGGAGCTGTTTGGCAGAAAACCAGACCTGAAGGACACCTGAAGTGCTGCTGCCAGCTGTGCTGATGCCAAAAGTGACTCAAAATCCACCCCCAGGCAGCAGCAACCAGCCAGGGCTCACACAGACACCGGTGCCACTGCCCTGCCTGTCGAGCAAATAGGAAATACCAAAGCTCTGAATCAGGGAAAAAAAAAAATAAAAGATGAGACTCCAGAAAAAAAGCTGAGAAGCTCAATGTGGACACTGGGAAACAGCACTAATTTCATTAAAGGATTACCCTTCATAGAGGATTTTCTCTCTGACAAGGATGAAAAACTTCCCATCTCTGCTTGGGTTTTGTGAGGACGACCCCAAAGAGCTCCAGGGGGAGTTTTCCATCCCTGAGCCCCTTGGAGAACATGCAGAGCACAGGGGAACTTGGAAAGAATGAATATTATTATTATTATTATTATTATTATTATTATTATTATTATTATTATTATTTACTATTACTATTATTAAATATCTTTAAATACTGCTCCCTATCAAGTATCTTTAAATATCCCTCTCCCAGTTCAGCAAAGCACTTAAGCTCATCAATTGCTGCTTTGAAAGTCATTTTTAATAAATTGCTTTAACTGGCACCACTGCAATGGAGAATCAGTCATGACAAAAAACGCCTCGAGCATTTTTTGGGCTTCAGGTTTGAGCTTCCAACCAAAAATCTGGGATTAGGTTAAAATAACACAGACACAATGTTTTGGACAACTCTTTTCTTTAATGGCACAAACCCCTAAAACCTGCCTTGCATATCAGGCAGAAAAGCTGCTCTGGACATTCTGACAAATTATTCTAAACATACAGGTATCATAAAATCAAAGCGATTTTCTAAATTGGTTTTACAAAAAAAAACACCGTTTGTGACCTTGTAATGGATACAGAAACAGATTTGCATACACAGAATCTGATTCCAAAGTCTGAACAGCCCCAGATTTTCCCATCAAATCCCTGGACACACCTTCCTGTGTAAATAATCAGCTGCCAAGAGATGCTGCAGAAGCCTTTACAGCTGGAAGCAAAGCCCATTATTGCTCCTATGAAAACAAACTTGCCTGTTTCCCGCAAGGAAGAATTGCCAAGGCTTTCTCAAGCACATTTCAGGTGTGTTTTGCTCTGCCAAGTGTCCCAGCTCTCTTCCCAAGGGTCCCTGGGCAGATAAAGGCACAGGAAAGGTCCCCATTCCTGGCTGCTGTGGTCACCTCCTCACAGAACCTCACACAGAACTTCCCTACAGCGTTTCCTACATGGCTGGCACACCCAGCTTATTAAAAATAAAACAAAAACAAAACCAAAAAAACTAAAAACAAAACCTCTTCTCTTTTCTCATCATGTACTCCTTGACAGCAAGTTGGGATGAGAATGCACTAAGGTACCAAAATGAAATGTGGCTGTTTCTGGGGAGAAGAGATCCCCAAGCTCATGAAAGATGCAGCGACCTTTTTTTTTTTTTTTTTTTTTTTCTTGCTTTGTTCTGACCTAAATTTGGTATCTGGGGGCACCAGGCTTGGTCATCCTCCTGTGCTCCTGTGCAAAGTTGCCAGCCTGTGAGTGGGACAAAGTGACATCCTGGTGCCACAGGCACGGTCTGGGTGAGCAATCCAGACTCCAGGAGCCCTCACTCCTACCTGGAATGCCTCTTCACCTCCTCTGTGAACCCAAAAACGTCTGCAGAAGGTCCCACGAGGTCGATGTGGGTGTCACAGGGCATGACCAGCACTTTGGGGTAGTGAGGCTTCAGCCTATTGCAGAGCTCCTTGTACCTCTGCTTCTCAGCCCTGCCGTGCTCCTTGAGGCAGATCCTCTCCTTCCTCAGCATCTTCTGCAGCTCCACGGAGTGATTCGCAATGGTTTTCTTGGCCTGCAAAACACCAGCCTTGCTGGCAGCACTCTCAATGCTCACCGTGGCAATGTCACCGTCGGTGACAGCAGAAATGACAACTTCATTTCCCTGCAGGGCTCTGGGAGGGAAGCACATCAGGTAGTGATAGATATCCGTGTCCAGAACCAGCACTGGTTTTTCCCTCGGTGCACCCCGGCTGGAATTCCTCATCCCTGCAGCACCTCTGGGCTCCTGCAGCTTCCTCCTGCCTCTCTGCTGGGGTTTCCCCTCTTTTTCGGGCTCCTCTGGCAGGGATTTTGCCTTCAGCAGGAGGAATTCTCTCAGCACTCGGAGCTCTGGGAAGGAGCCCTGCACAGCCACCTGCCCGTCACGCTGCAGAGCCCCAAAAATCAAGCCCGGGCTCTGCTTCTGCATCTCCTGCAGCAGATCTTCCAAAAGCAAGTGGTCTCTGAAAACAGCCAGGCTGAGCGTGCACGAGACCCAGAGGAAGGCCTGCAATTGGGAAGGGGAGAAGTTAATGAGGCATTAAGCATAATTGGGAATAAAAGGGTTTTAAAAGCATGGGGGTTTAGGGTGAGAAGGAAAATTAAGCTCAGTAGGCCCTGAAAAAAATACCCTGGTATTGTAAATGCAGGTGAACCCAATGGGAAGAAATGCTGATGTCTGACTCAGTTCAGAAGGCTGAATGATTTCTTTATTCTAACTATGCTAAAATACATTAATATGCTATATAAAAGGAGGATACTAAAACTAAAACTACTTTCTCTGACTTTAACCCAACTGGTGACCCTCTCTGAGCCCAGCCCCAGGTGGATTGGATTGGATTGGACTGGATTGGATTGGATTGGATTGGATTGGATTGGATTGGATTGGATTGGATTGGATTGGCCACCAGGCTCAAACAATCCTCACCAGAATCCAACCCAGCATCACCCCAGGGAAACAATTCTCCAAACACATTCCACATGGGAAAAACAAGGAGCAGAAATAGAAATTGTTTTCTCTTTCATTTCTCTTTGTGCACCTCCATGAAAAATCCTGAGAGGGAGAGAAATGTGCTTGCCACACCCTGGGAACATGTAGGCCTTGTACCTTGCTAGAACTGCACCTGTGTAGCTAATACATGATAAATGATATAATTGTTAGATGTGATGATTGTTTAGTAATTAAATATAATTACTGTTTAATTGAAAGAATAATCATGAGAAACTGTGGCCAGAAGCTTAAGAAAAATCATGAGAAACTCATGGTTGAATAAAATCAATATATACAATAGAACAATATAAGTTCAATAATTAATATCTAAAGTATATAACGACAGAATATAAAATACGCTCAGCTCAAAAGCCGTGTCAGAGTCAGATTTGGGTCTCGACCCCTGATCCCAGAGCTCTCAATAAAAGCACCTGCAGAGAATCATATCCTGTGATTCTGGGTGTTCCTGAGCTCTGACAAAACTAGATGAATTAGGTGTGGGAAATGGAAGGATAGAAACTCCCACAGACACAGGAGGGTTTGACCTGCAGCCTTGGAAGAAGCTTGGATTGATGTAAAAATACAATACACACACACAAACCAGAGAAACCATAAATTTATGTTTCTATATTTGTAAGTAAGAATATGCCTTAAATAAGTGAGAAACTATTTCAATAAGACGGCGAAGGGTTTATAATGTAAAAATGAAATCATATAGAGTAAGCTGAGAGTTCAGAAGTTATAACAGAAACATCTGTGTGTACGTGTGACAGTAGGCCACTGATAAAAGTAAATTCATTGCTGCAGAAGTCAGTAAAGGTGACAGGTTAGAAAAGCAAAATAAACTTTGTGGCAACTGCCCATTGGGTTAGAAAGTTTCTATATTGCCTTGTGACAAAGAACATTTTTTATGGCTGCTCTCTTAAACCTCACAGCACCTGAGGCTGATGTTTATCTGAGCAATAAATGGGTTTTAGCCCCACTGGGGTGCCATGCCTTCAATTAAAGCAGTGCTAATGACTTTAGGGAGGAGCTCACGTTGTGGCAGTAGCGGGTCACTGTCAGGGGGAAGGGCCTGGGCAGCCTCTGGTCCTGCAGGAGATGCTGATCCTTCTCCAGAACGCGCTCCACAACTGAAAACAAACAAATTCACTTGTTGGAAAGGCTGCCTGGAGCAGGGGCTGGGCAGAGCCACAGAATAAATCAGGGATTTATCCAAAGGATTTATTAAATTGATCTCCTCCATGGATCCACCTTGGGCAGCACCAGAGCCCAGCCAGGGCTGCACCCAAATGACCCAAAATGGTCCCAAAAAATGGATGATTAGTCACAAAATGATCAGTTCTGCTCCACTGGCACCTTGGAGCTCATTGTCCCATTCCAGCTCCAGCCCAGGCAGTCCCACCCTGCTTGTTTTTCTCTCTCCAGCCCACGCTGTTTGTGCTCCTGGGCTGAGGTTTGGATCATTTGGGTGCCCAGCTGGAGCAGGAATTGTTTTGTCTCCCTGCCCACCAACACTGAATGTGAAGCTCAGAGCTGCACACCAAAGCAGCACAGAGCCTGAAAAATTAAATAAAAGCCAAACCTGAGGCACCAGTGGAGCAGTGAACTGGGCACCTCCAGCCTCTCACCTCACATTGCATCTGTCACCCCAACTGCTCAGAGAGACACGAGCCTGTCTCCCTGGCACATGAACGGGCAGAGATTTATCCCCCAGAGCCTGGCTACAAAATAAATCCATTATTCCTGGCATTAAAAAACCCAGTATTTTTTAAAAAAAAAGAATTTGTTCCTGCCACACAAACACAATGCTTGGCATGGCCAGTGAGTTGTTACCTCAATGAGAAACAAAATCCTGAATCTTGGCCCCATGACCAGAGAGGCTTCAGCCTCCCGAGGATATGTGAAAGAGTTTTGAGTAAGTTCAAGGTAAGATTTTTCAGTTTTTTAGATGATGTGATTGATTTATTTTTTATAGATAAGAAGGGTGAGGAGGGAGGAGCCAAACGATGCCATCAAGGATGCCATCAAGGGGTTGTGCAGACAGCAAATAAATCCCCTCTTCTGAGAGGAAAAGCTAAAATTTTCTCTACACTGGACCTCCAGAGGGAAACTACATCAGTCTGCAGGAGCAGTGCTCAGACAGAACCACATCTGCCACCACCACCCCAGCCAGAGAGCGTCACGTTGTGTCCCTAACTCTGTCAGTGGTTCTTCTTTTGTGCTGTTGTATGTTGTGGGAACTCAAAATGTCCCTCAGACATTTTTGGAGGTTCCAGGCCTTGGTCAGGAGCATTCTAGACCCTGGCAGGCAGCTGCAAACAGCTGGGATTTTGGGTTTGAGCCATGGAATGAGTTACCAACTTTGAAGGTGGAACAAGCAGTCACAAAAGGGTTAGATGGGATAGTAAAAGTAGTTACAAAACAGAGGGGAATTTTTTTTAGTATTGTACAGGGGGGTTTTAACACATGTACAGGGGGGTTTTTACTTTGTACATGGGGGTCAGAAGTTCTAAGATGGAGGAAAGTGGGCTGGTCCTGTTCTTCCTCCTTCTTCTTCCTCACCTCCATGTTCTTGGTTTAGAGTAGAAAAGCACTTTGTAATATAGGTAGTAGGTATTGGGGGAAAATTATAAACATGTAATATGTAATATATCATATAAAAGATAGCAGCAGCCCTGGGGGGGAGAGAGAAGAAGACACAGACAGGGAGGATGTCAGGGTGTGTGTGTGCCCCTGCCCAGGCCGCTGACCAAGACAATCTTTTAGATAACCAACAATAAACTGCCTTGAGACTGAACAACAAGAGCCTGCACAGTTTTTCTCTGGAATCACGGCTTGGAGGAGGAATTCCACCAGCACACGGGAGCCCAGAGCAAGCCTGGCGTTCCCACAGCATGTATTTGCTTCTTTGCTCCCTTTCCCTAATAAATTGCATTTCTGACTCAGAAATCTCACTGGTTTTGCTTCTCAGAGCAGGAGAAAAGCACGCTGACTGAAATCACCTCCCGCGTCCTCGAAGGTGACGAGGGCGACGCCCGGGCAGCGGGTGGGGAAGGTGACCCGGCGCACGTCGCCGCCGCGGTTGCGGGAGCGCTGGAAGTGGATGGTGAGGATGTCGGCCACCAGCTCGTCCTGCAGGAGCCCCGCGGGGACACC